AGAGCTAGGTGTGATCTTTCATGCTCAAACAGCTTAAAGTCTTTGGATAAATCAGGCAATCCTAATGCTGGAGCAGTTGTCAATGCTTTCTTCAGCTTGAGGAAGGCCTCCTTCTGTGGTTTGCCCCAGGTAAACAGCTGTGCCTTCTGGGCTTCATACAGGGGTTTTGCAATTAGTCCATAGTCCATGATCCACAGGCGGCACCACCCTGTCATCCCGAGGAAAACTCGCAGCTCATGTAGGTTCTGGGGCTCTGGAATAGCACAAATAGCTTGAATACGATTAGTACCCAGCTTACGTTGCTTTTGTGAGATTTCACACCCCAGGTAAATCACAGTCTGTTGGGCAATTTGTACCTTTTCTTTAGACACCTCATATCCTCCCATTCCCAGCAAATTTAAAATTTCAATTGTTACCTTTATGCAGGTTGTTTTCTCTTCTGTAGTTGTCAGTGTATCATCAACATACTGTAACAGCAGGTATTGTTTTCTGGTACTTGCCCATTCTTGGTCCAAATCTCCAGCTCCTTTGCCAGCTGGCTTCCAAATAGGGTTGGACTGTTCTTGTATCTTTGTGGGAGTCATGTTCAGGTGAGCTGAGTTTTCCTTCCATTTTCTGGATTTTCCCATTCAGAGGCAAACAGTTTCTTACTTTCTTTGTCAAGGGGTATGCAGAAAAAGGCATCTTTTAAATCAGTTACAGTAAACCATTTCTATTTCTCTTTTACGGATGTTAACAGTGTGCAAGGATTAGCTACCACTGGGTAAATATCTTCAGTTATTCTATTATTGCTCTCAAATCCTGTACTAGTCTGTATTGGTCAATACAAAATTTGGGCTCTAGTGTTAACTACAGAAATAATAGGTGCATGTTTAGGACCCACCATTGCTAAAATCAGTACGTCTCCAGTTTTGTTATTTCTAGTGAGCATTTTAAATAAAACTAACTTCCACCTCTCTGCTCACCCATGAGAGGCAGTTACCAGTTTCCCTGATTCTAAAACTGTTTGGACTCCACTCCCAGAAGCTGAGAAGGAAACTGCTTTGGCTCACAGCCCAGAGCCTGTGGAGGTATGCTGGGTTATACAATGGGGCAATCGATACAATGAACCTGGGACAGTGCCAATTAATGACTACTTTACTCAACTTTTAAGTGATAAGCCACTCATTATATTTTGGAGACCCCTTTCTTTATTTCTAGTGACCACTAATACTGGCAATTAGAGATTTGTTTTCTCTTTTTTTGGGGGGACGGTTTTCATTAAGAGAACCAATGTATCTATCACCCTTTGCTTTCTCTGATTTTTTCCTTCTGGGATTTTTACAGGTCCATAATTTCAGTTTTCACAGGTAACAGCATCGGTGATTCATAACTAACAATTAATTTTCTTTTGTGTATCATTTGTAAGCAGACAGCTTTCTAAATATTTTTCAGTAGTTGGTTGGGGGTACAAACTATAGCAGTCAAGTCCCCCCTTTCCAAGGGGTTAAGCCCCTCGGCCCAATAAGCTGTATGCTGAGTTAGGGACCATGTCTGTATCTTGCTATTAAGAAGACCTCATGTCCCCAGTGCTCATTCGATTCCTGTTCTCTCAACCGAATTTGATCACCTCCAGTGAGACACTCGGAATACGTATTCTGTCTCTGACTCGTGAAGGAGACACCCATACTCCCTTTTCTTTTCTCTTTTTTTTTCTCTTTTACTTTTTTTCTTTTTTTTTTTTTCTATTTTTATTTCTATTTTAGTAGTTATATGCAGACCAAGATCCTTATCCCTATTTTTATTTCTATTTTAGTAGTTATATGCAGACCAAGATCCTTATCATTGATATAATTATATACTATTATAATGTAGTAGTAATAGTATATTATATTCTATTATAATATATTATATAATATATTATATAATTATATTATAAAATTTATATTATCTCATTAAAAATTATATTCTTAATTAGAGGTTTCAAACTAGGACAGCAGTGTTCCCCACAATTTTATCCAAGTTAGCTCTTTTTGAGGGTAAATTTGATTAATGAGAGGGGTTTCCCTCTCTTGTTTCATTTTTTCCCAGTTTAAATTTTGTTTCATGTTGTAAAGAACATACTCTATCAATCACATTTTCCAAATTAAACCAATTACTGAGCACCAACTTTTCCCTCCTGGAGAAGGTCTGGCACTGTGTTTTGCTAACAGAGCATAACATGCATAAAATGCAGTTTTAACTTTTGCACTGCTGTTTTCAGTCATTTTTACAAAAAGAAAAACCACTACAGGGAGGTATAAACTTAAACTATACACACACACACAACAACTTTGCTTCCCTGTATGGGTAAAAAGACCAAATCTGCTTGGAAGGCACTCCTTCAGTTTAAAATTCTGGTTGTCTCTTTGCTACACCAAACAGTCAAAATTCATACACACAACAACAAAAACAATCCAGCCCTTTGGCACTAAGAGAGCTTTTGTGAAATTCTGCAGACAGAGCCCTCAAGTGAGTGTGGGGTGCTTTTTACCTCGGCGTGTGCAGTTTGTGGGAAATCCGACTCGCCCCCCTTGCTTTCTAGACACCGCTCACTCTTTTGGGAGTGTCAGGCTAGGTGCGGCTGGAGCAAAACGTCTTTCCCCTAATACAGACTGCACAACAAACCTGCAGCCCCTTCTGTCTGTCAGAAATCCTGTCCATGATGCCAATTTAGATGTCATGATTCGCTAATGCAAGTGAGGCTCATGAGAGGTTTGTTTGATCTCAGAGTGCAAAAGGACACAAAGGGATTTCAGTTTAAATCACAACAACAATAATGTACCTTTATTTTAGTGCCAACAACAAGGGTTATGCGATAGAGGAGAGAGAGAGAGAGAGAAATAAGGAAAGCAAAGTAAAGAAAGAGAGAAGAGGTTATAGCTACTAACAGATGAGACGGGATTGCTGGGGTCTTTTTCTGTGGGAGATCTGGCTGAAATTATCTTAGTCTTATGTAATTCTTCTCCAAAGTTACCTTGTTTCCAATGTGCTAATAAGCACCCCAAAGGAGAAGTACCCGGTATGGGAGCATAGCAGCCCAAAACCCTTCTCCATATTATAACTATAATATACCACAAATGCCGAACCTGCGACGCTTTCGCAGTCGTCTTACGGACGGCGCCTAGGCTTTACCAAGAGGAATTCCTTTAGCCCAACCACGCGCAGCTTTCGCCACGTCTAACTGGCAGGCACCAAAACCAAAGTAAAGCACCTTACCTTTCTCTCCCGGGGACATTGTGAGCAGCGGAGACGGTCGCGGCTGATGGGCTCCCCGAGAATCCCTCGGTGCCGGCTGGAGCGTGATCGGGTCGCGAGTTCGCTCAGCAGCACTCACAAGGTCCCACCTGGGTCGCCAAAATGTTAGCGTTCAGGAACACACATAACCACGAATGGTTATATGAAGGTGCTTTATTTAAAGAGCTCTGGGTGTCAGGGGTACACATACCCAAATCTGACACGACTTGGGTTTCGAGTTGAACATATTTTATACTCTATCATTATGCAACTTACATATTAATTATTAAACTTACATTGTTCTATTGTAAGCATTGTTTTTACCCAAGCATGAATTTCTCGTAATCCCCCCTTAGCCCCCTAACATGGTTCCCCATGTTCTCTAAACAATAATTATATCTAATCACATCTAACAATTGTATCATTTATCATATACTGACTACACAAGTGCAGCTTGACCTGGTCTTTAGCAAGCACAAGGCCTAACGTTTCCAGGGCCTGCTTTTCCCAGGGCTTTCCAAACCTAACTTTTTCTAAGTCCCCGAATTTTCTAAGATTTTAAGGCCTTTTACTATCACTGGCACAACAGGGGAACAACTCCTCTCCCCGAGCTGCAGGAGAAACAACATGTGATGAACTGACCAGAACCCCTATTCCCTGTGTTCCTGCACCCACTGGGGCAGGAGGCAGAGCCAGGAAGGAGGGAGGGATGAGCAGAAGGTGTTTTTAAAGCTTTACTTTACTTCTCATTATCCTGATTTGATTTTGATAGCAATAAATTCAATTAATATCACTAATTTCAAACCTGTTTTTCCTATGATGGCATTTGCTGAGTGATCTGTCCCAGTCCTTATATCAACCCATGAAGCCCTCATTCTATTTCCTCTCTCCTGTCCATCTCTGGAGGGGAGTGAAAGAGCAGATTTGGTGGGTGCCCGGCATCCAGCCAGGGTTAACTGACAACGCATCCTTTCTTCCATTCTTTCCAAAGTTCACAGTGAAGAGACTGAGTGGGACTTTGATGGATGGAGTGAAGGAGGTCGGGAGTAGTGGGGACAGGAGCCACAGGGATCTGGGACAGGCATCAGAGAGGTCCAGGCAGCTGGCATGGGGTATGGCCTGTCCCCATGGCCTAGCAGCAGCTGCATGCCCTGCCCAAGGTGTTCCCACCAGGGGCTGTGCCCCAGAGACAGGGGGAGACCGCAGTCCCGGGGGCAGCGTTTCTGCCCTGACCCACATCCAGCCCAGCCTCTTCCATGTGCACAGTGACTACTGGTATGGGCTGCACTGGACAGCGTGACCTGCTGGGGACATTGAGAGCTGCCCCCGGTGTGACACTGCCCTTGGGATTTCATAGGCACCAAAAAAATCACAGCCAGCCCTGCTCCTTGTGATGTCACCGGCCCTCTGAGTGTCTCAAGGGTGGGAAGAGCTTCACCCAGAGGTCAGCCTTGAGCAAACATCAATTGAGGCACCACTAAGGGAAGCCCTGGGAATGCCCTCAGTGGATAGGTGGCTCCTGGCTCCCCGTGGCCTGGATTTTCTTTTCATTTCTCTTTGTCTTTTCGAAACACCCAAAACCAGGGTAAAAATAAAGATGTTGAACAAAAACATGGATGGGGACATGGGACGATCGTCCAAGGGATCTGGGAGATGCTGGGTTCAGCATCAGAGGGTTCCTGGGAGGGACTTGGGGGTTGCTCAGGGCTTTGGGGACCCCAAGCTGAATGACTCCGGCTACGCTTGGGAGACCCCGGTGGAGGTTCTGGGGCAGCTGATCAAGGACCTCCTGCCCTGGAACTGTTCCCATGTCCCCCCATTCCGACTCCTTGTGTCCCCTGTAGCGGACGCCCCTCTCCCCTCTGTCACGCCCCCGGCCCCGCCCGTTTCCGTGTCCCACCTACCCCCGTCTCGTCCTGCTCCCATCCCAGTCCGGACTCCATTCCTGGTTCCATTCCCGTATTCCCGGTTCCTGTCTCGGTCCCCATTCCCGATCCCTGCCCCCTCTCACCAGACGCCGCCGCCATCGCTCCAACTCCCCCGGCCCTCACGTGACCAGGGAAACACCGCGCTGTTCCTGCCCACCAATCACAGCGCGCGATCGCTTCTGACCACGCCCTTTTGTTTAGCCCCGCCCACCGCCGGGGTAGCCGCGTCCCGGCGCTGTTTCCTCCCAGTTCCCTCCAGTGCTCCCAGTAAGAGGCGTACTGGGAGGGAAAGCGCTCCCAGTTCCTCCCCGGTGCTCCCAGTATCGTTCCCAGTGCCGCGCGAGGCGGGGCCGCATTGGGAGACACCCCAGGGCAGAGCGCGGCTGCTTTTGGGTGTCGGCACCTGCCTGGCCCGGGCTGGGAGCGGAGGAGGAGCGGAGGAAGAGGAGGAACAGGAAGAGGAGGAAGAGAAGGAACAGAAGGAAGAGAAGCAGCGGGAGGAGGAGGAGCGGCAGAACCGCGCGGTTTCCCCGCCCGCCTGCTCAGGCCGCAGCTCCCCCGGCTCCAGCAGCATCACCTAATCCCCACCCCCGGAACCCACAGGTGAGCGGGGAGGGGGAGCTCGCCCCAAATCCATCGTGGGAGTCTCCGGGAGGGTTTTTTTTTGCGGGACAGGGCATGTTTGAATCTTGCAGGACCCCAAAGCTGAGCCGCAAATGCCCTGGAGGGATCCTGGGGGGTCCCACGTGGCGATCGCCTAGTACCGGTGGGCAGAGGGGCGATACCGAGTTTGGGGATCCCCGGGAGAGCCGGGGAGGAACGCGAGAGCCCCGGAGAGGGGAGGGCACAGAGGGGCGATCCTGGATCCGGGGGATCCCCGGCAGCATGGAGAGGGGTGGGAAGGCTGGAGATGAGTGGGGTCTGGTCCCCGCGAGGCTGAAAGTGACTTTTCGAGCTGCACTTTCATAGTGGCACCATCGAACACAACGTTTTCAGCCCTTGTTTTCCCCCCCAAACCAGGATTTCTCATTCCCAAACCTTGACCGGATATAGGAGGAGGACAATGTGAGGATGATGGCCCAGGAGCCCCTGGCAGGTGAGGAGGAAGTCTGTGCCCCTTTCCCCCTCTCTCCTGCTCCATGTCCCAGCCCAGCACAGCCCCCGGCTGCAGGACAGTCCCGCTGCCAACGCCGTCCTGCCGGGGACGCACTGGGGGGGATCTCCTTCCCCTTCCCTCTGGCACAGAGGCAAATCCCGTCTTCTCCTTGTCCTTCATTCCCCAGACAAGGAGCAGTGGACAGAGACCAGGGGGGACAAATCTTTGCAGCAGAACCTCGTGGAAGAGGCTGTTTTGAGCAGCTCCACAGCTCAGGAATTCAATGGGGAGGAAAAGCCACGGAGATCCCGCACAAAGACGGGCTGCAAACGCAGATCACAGGGATCCAAGGAAGAAAGACCCACCCTGAGCCAAGGAGGCGGCCAGAGTTTGGAACTGAGGATCCATGAGCAGGTCCACAGTGGGAAGAAGCTCTATAGATGTGGGGAATGTGGGAAGAGCTTCAGCCGGAACTCAACCCTCATCCACCACCGGAGGATCCACACTGGAGAAAGGCCCTATGAGTGTGGGGAGTGTGGGAAGAGCTATAGAAACAGCTTTGACCTGATCAACCACCAGAGGAGCCACACAGGGGAACGGCCCTATGAGTGTGGGGAATGTGGGAAGAGCTTTCAGAGAAGCTCCAGTCTCCTGAAGCATCAGTGGACACACACAGGCGAGAGGCCCTATGAGTGTCCTGAGTGTGGGAAGAGGTTTCAGAGCAGCTCCAGGCTCCTCAGGCATGAGCGGATTCACACAGATGAGAGGCCCTTCCACTGCCCTGACTGCGGGAAGGGCTTCAAAAATAACCCTGATCTCATCACCCACCGGCGCATTCACACCGGGGAGAGGCCCTATGAATGTCCTGAGTGTGGGAAGAGATTCACCCAGAGGTCAAACCTCATTGTCCACAAGAGGACCCACACCGGCGAGAGGCCCTATGAATGTGGGGAATGTGGTAAGAGGTTCAGCCAGAGCTCAGAACTGATGCATCATAGGAGGATGCACTCTGGGGAGCGGCCTTACAAGTGTGGTGAGTGTGGGAAGAGCTTCAGTCGGAGCTCCAACCTGATCATCCACCAGAGGAGCCACACAGGGGAACGGCCCTACGAGTGTGAGGAGTGCTGGAAGAGGTTTCAGACCAGCTCAGATCTCCTTGTACATCAGCGGATTCACACAGATGAGAGGCCCTTCCACTGCCCCGACTGTGGGAAGGGCTTCAAACTGAACTCCACCCTCATCACCCACCGGCGCATCCACACTGGGGAGAGGCCCTATGAGTGTCCCCAGTGTGGGAAGGGGTTCAAACAGAGGTCAGCCTTGAACCAACACCAACGGAGCAACCACTAAGGGAAGCCCTGCCAGTACCCTGAGTGCAGGAAGAGCTTTGTGTGGTGCTCCAGCTCCATCCCCCTTGGGAGGATCCACACTGGATGATCCGTGTTGGAAAGGCATCTGGCTGGGGGCTCTGCATCCTCCTGGCTCCCTGTGGGCACCTGGTCACATCTACAAACCAACATCAGAAATCCATTATGGACAGCAGATTTGTTGACTCCTGACCCCAGAAAAATCTCACTTTTTGCATCTTCTGGTCGCATCAAGAAACACTGGATGTCCTTGGAGGTTTTCTCTAACATAAATCCATTGTTTTAATTCTCTCTGGCCCTTTGGCATCTTCCACATCCAGACTGGGATGGATTGGGGCAAAACCCATGATTCTGGAGACAGTGAGGTAGAAACCCCTCCAAAAATTTTTTTCCCACCCACCCAAGCATGAGGATGCTCTGCCAGCAGGGACACATAAATCCTTTCTTTGGCCTTGAAATGAAAAGGTTTCTGTTCATCCCTTTGAAACCCCTGAAACAGGGGTAAAAATAAAGACGTTGAACTAAGGCGCATGGATGGGGACATCTTGGGGACAGTGACATGGGTGGGGCCATGGTGGAACATGGGGGACATGACCATGGATGGAGACATGGCCATGGATGGGGACATGAGGGGACTTGGATGGGGACATGGACATAGATGGAGACACGGCCATGGATGGGAACATGGTAAGGACGTGCACATGTGAGGACACAGCCCTGGGTGGGGACATGAGGGGACATGAACATGGATGGCGATATGAACTGGGACAGCATCAGTGCCACCAACACCTTCATCTCAGCCATGGCAAAGCACTGCCTGATGCAGTTCCTACCACCACATCAACACTTTCACCACCAGTGTCCCAGCCAAATGTCATGCCCCACCAGGGCAGGATGGGGAACTTGTTCAGCTGGTGACAAGTGGGCCAGAAGTGAGTGACAGCCAGCAGGGTGTGCCAGGGCCACCGAGCTCAGGGGACCCTAACCGCCCCTGGGGACAGGGCAAGGGTCAGTGTCACTCGTGGGGTCATGTGTCCCCCTGTTGGGTGTCACTGGAGGCGTCCTGATGGCAGCATCCCCACAGTTGTGGCGACATTGTCACCAGATGCGTGTCCTGGTGGCATCGTGTCCCCTCCTCTCCATATCTCCCCATCCCCCACCATGGCTCCCTGTCACCCTTCTGTGTGTTCCTGTCTGTCGCCCTGAAAACTAGACCTCCTGATATTGTTCTCATAGTTTTAGCTACTTTCCCAGGAAAGTAACTATGAACTATAAACATAAACACATTCCTTCTAAGAAACTTCTTTGATGGACATTTCGCATGACCAGTGTGATTGGGAAGGTGGTAACTTAATTATCCAATCCCTGGTCATCATCAAAAATCTATAAATACTGGAGTCAAAAAATAAAGATTTTTCTTTTTCTTGTCATACCACTGAGACGTGTTCATGTGAATCATTCCGTGTCCTTTAGCGACATCTGTCCTGCCCCATGTCTCCCTGTCCCCGTTGTGAGTCCCTGTCCCTATCTCCCCTATGTGTCCCTGTCCCCTTCTGTGTGTCCCTCTCCCCTCCCTCTGTGTCTCTGTCACCCACCCCCAGCAGGGCCAAAGTCCCCAAGGTCCCAGGGCTGTGTCCTGCAGGGTGTCCCTGTGTCCTGCAGGATGTTATCGTGGCTGCTCCTGGATGAGCATCTGTGCCTGCACCAGCACAGGTGGGGACACGTCAAAACACCCTGTGACACCCCACGACATCCCATGACACCTTTTGTCCTCTGATTTTGGGTCCTTACCCCATCTTTTGGATTCTTTTCCCCTATTTTTGTCCTTTCTTCCTATTTTATGTCTTTCCCCCCTATTTTGGGTCCATTGCCCCCTATTTTGGATCCTTTCCCTCTTTTCCATTCTTTCCCCCAGTTTTGGCTGCCCTCCCCTTGCTTTTGGCATATTTTTGGGTCCATCCACACCCTCCAATGCCCTCCCCACCCCTTAGCCCCTCTTGCCCCTCCTGCCCTGTCCCCCCAGGCTATGTCCCCAGCTGTGTCCCCGACTGCTCCCCTGTGCCACATGGACTATCTTGAGAATGAAAAGTTTGTTAACACAACAAACTATTCCTGGGTGAAAAACAAGTGCTCACCTGTGTGAGCACAGTGGGTCTGTCCCATGAGAATCAGTGAAGAAGATATGTAAACATCTGAGTGTCAGCACATACACACAAAACACCTTCTAACCAATTAATTGAATATCATGGAAACTACTAACCAATGGGAGTTCAACATGAGGTCTGTAAAAATGTACAAAAATGCATTCTGTGAATAAAGAATTGGCTTTTTCTGCATGATGAAATGGAGTTCTGGTTGATTTATTACAACAAGACCACCCCTGCTTTGGGGCACTGATGACAAATTGGCAGGTGGTGATGACAAAAATGCAGGTGCCACCTCAGGGATGGTGCAGAGAGGGGTCCTGTGGTGCCATCATGCCCCCACGCTGAGTGAGTGACAAAGGGGTGATCAGGGGAGTCCCCAGGGTGCCGGGAAGGAAGTGCAACAGGGGAAACGCGTCCGGTCCCACACCTGGGACACGGGTGGCAGGGCACTTGTCTCTTTGTCCCCCTGGCACCCTATCCCTGGTCCATTGTGTGGGGACTGCCTGGGTGGGCAGGAGAACCCAAAGAATTTGGACTCCTGGGGTGGGCAGCCAAAAAATTGGGACACGTGAATGGGCAGATTTGGGACTCCAAATATTGGGGACCCCTCAAAGTGGGAATGCCAGGTTGGGGATGTCCACCCCACCACACCCAAGTCCAGTCGCTGGACTCCCCAAAGTGACTTCTCCCATTTCACCCCCACCCCCCATGCCCATGCAGAGACCCTCAAAATGCCTCCCCCAACCCCAGAACCCCAAATCCAGCCCCAAAAATTTCTCATCCCATCCTACTACTCTCAAAGTCAGCCCCTGGACCTCCCAAAATGGCCTCTCCCCATCCCACCACTCCCTAAATCCAGCCCCTGAGCCCCCCAAGCTCAACTCTCCCATACCACACATGGAGGTGGAAGCCAGGCCTGGCCACCCCCGGGCCCCCACCCTACTGAAGACCTACAAGTGGAGCACCACGATCACTGCCACCCCCAGAGGGGACCCCAAAAGGAACGGGGGGTCCCCAGGGAGCTGTCGCTGGGCATGGCTGCAGGGCTTGAAACACTCCTAGAGCCACCCCAACACTGACAGCGACAGGGGTGGTGGCAGAGGTGTCCCCAAGGCCAGCGAGCACTGGTCGCTGTTCCAGACGGTGTTTTCCACCCCCTCCAAGGAGCCACGGGGACCCGAGGGGACATGAGGGGATGAGGCTACCCCTGCAGCAGTACTTGCACCACTGGGCAGGAGGAGGGGACATGGTGACAGCAGAACCAGGGCAGAGCCGGGGACAAAGGATGGGGCAGGTGAGGGGGCTACAGGGGTGGGAGAGTAGGGGGTGAGGGGTGGGGGTAATTTCAGGGTGATGGGTGGGGAGTGATGAATTTTGGAGTGATTATGATGGGTGAGGGATGATGATGGGTGGGTGGAGATGGGAATGATTTTGGGGGTGATGGGTGGGGGGTGATGACTTTTGGGGTGATGATGATGATGGGGTGATGGGTTATGGGGTGTGGGGTGGGAGGTGCTGCCCTGGCACAGCCATTGCCACAGGGGTGCCCTATCCCCACTGTCCCCAGGGGCTGTTGCCATGCGTCCCTCTGCTGGGGCTGGCACTGACAGTGGCACTGGGATGTGGCCAAACCTGCTTGGCACGGGCGGAACTACCCATGTGTATGTATGGAGCCAGCATGGCCTGGCCCCACACGTGGTCTGTCACTGTCACTGCCAACAGCATTGCCACTCCATGGACAAGTGTCCCCTGGCACTGCCACGCTCATGTTGGCATCTCCATGAGCATCCCAGCACTGGCAGCATCACCTCCACGACCACATGTCCTGTGGTGTCATCACACCCATGAGGGCACTTCCATGGCCACCTGTCCCCCATCCTGGCACCCCTGGTGGCATGGCCAGACCACATGTCTCCTATCATTGCCACACCCCCATGGGTGCACCCACGGGAGCACCCATACACTGTCCTCTCCCCTCCGATGTCTGGGGATGGTCATGGCCCCTGCTGAGCTGCCCTGTAAATGGCTCTTCTAATAGCAGCCAGTAAGGAAGGGCATGAAATTGTTACAATGACACCTACATGCAGTTTATTTCTTTCATCCAAAGAAGTTAAGAAATATTGTAGGCGATGTACTTAGGAGGAGTGAAATGTTTGTGTTCACCAGGCTGGCACAGCTTTTTTCTGGAGTGAAAGCTGAGTGCTGGGTGCTGAAGTAATTTCAGAGAAACTCAGAATGTGCTGAGTTGGAAGAGACCCATCAGGATCATTGAGTCCAACTCTTGCCCTGCACAGAACACTACAATTCCACCATGGGCCTGAGAGTCCAAGTGTTTCTTGTCCCAAGACAGACATGGGGTTGGGACCACTTCCCTGGGGACCCTGTTCCAGTGCACAACCCCCCTCCAGGTGAAAAAGTTTTTCCTGATATTGAACCTAACCCTCCAGCTGAACAAACTAAGTGTCCTTAGCTGTTCCTCACAGAGCCCCTCCAGACCCTTCCTCATCCTTGTGACCTCCTCTGGACACTCTGCAATGGCTTTATGTCTTTTCTGTATTGTGGTGTCACTCAAGGTGAGGCCACCCCAGTGCAGAGCAGAGTGTGACAGTGCTCTCCCTGGCCCTGCTGCTGATGTTGGGCCTGGTGCCCCAGGACATGGTGGCACTTCAGACTGCCAGGGTATTGCTGACTCATGTTCAACTTGCCCTTGGCCGGGACCCCCAGGTCTCTCCCCACAGCTGGTCTCCGGCCTCTCCTTCCCCAGTCCATACACCAAGCCAGCAGTACCCCATCCCAGGGGCAGAATCTGACCCTTCCCTTGTTAAATTCTATACAGCTGGTGACTGCCCATCTCTGTGAGTTCTCTCTGCAGAGCCTCTCTGGCCTCCAGGCAGTTGACAGCTCCTCCCAATAAATTTACTGATT